GTGAATAATGACTCTAATTTTAGCAACTTTCTAAACGATTAACGAAAATATTAGGTTTGTTTTTTCAAATGATTTGAGTCGTAACGGCAAAAAGACATGGACAAAAAATGAACTAAAATGAATTGGAAGTTTTCAGAGCGACATAAAATAAATCGAAAAAGGTATAGCGTGACGAAAGCAACTTGGGCAAATAAATAAATTTGTTAAATTTGTACAATATCAATGTTGCCTAGTACCAATTAGCATTTCGAAAAACTACTTGAAAAAAGAAATAGTTCTTTTTCTTTTGAGACTTTTGCAAAAAAAACAATCATAGCGAATCACTTCTTAGAGATTTCCAGTCAACAGTTTTCTCTAACAAAGCATTTCCATAGTCGGTTATTCCACTTTTTCTATCGAATTGTTCAAAACAACTTCACAATAACTTTAGAAGATAACTTTAAAAACTTTAAAAACAATTTTAACATAGGGTTGACTTCTTTTTACTTCTTACCTCTGCTTTGAATTATTGGTAAGACTTCTGAAGATGTCCGATGAAACATTCTATTGGTTTTAAAAGCATGACTGTTTTGGCTAACATCACTTTTGGTAGCTAAAAGTTTAAGAAATCTACTGAAATTTTTGAAAACTTTATTGAGAAATTCGATTTTTAGGGAGGTGATTGAGGATGCACAAAAATCAACACTGAAGATCAGCTTCAAATTTTACTTAATCCAAAAATTTGTTTTCTGAATTATCAATCTAAATTATCTTATTGTTCCGACTATTGAAACTGGGGAGGAACTTTGTATTCGTGCGTGTTTTAGTTTTTTCCTCTTTTTTTTTTGTTTTCCACAAAAAATCAGGTACCACAAATAATGATCGGACTGGGTTGAGTGATATATCATATTGAAGCCCTCTCAATCGTGATTCGAACCCCATTAAAAATTCCAAAACCTGTTCCCAGTGGCGAGAAAAACCAGTTTCAAATTTTTGATTATTTGTCTTAAATCGAGTGAATATAGCATGCGAGCAAGTTTTTTTCCTAACAAAATTAGCTACCACAAAAAATTATATTGCTGGGTTGAGTGATACATCATATTAAAGCCCTTTCAGTCCTAATTTGAACGACATCAAAAAATTTCAAAAAAAATTCCCGCTGTCAAGAAAAACCGGTTTGAAATTTTTATTTTTTTTTCGGTTAATTTCGAGCGAGTGATCAGGTTTAGATTAGCTTATTTTTGCTTAATTTAAACCTTAAAAAATTACTTTTACTCTAATGAAGCTAATTTTTGGAGTTTTAAGCTTCATCTTAGGAATCAAAAACTTGAAAAATTAGGGAAAAAAATTTTGAAAAGTTATTTTTAAAAAAATTTTAAATATTGGTTTTGATTTTTTTTCTTGTTATTTGTCTTCAAAAATTGTTTTTCTTTTTGCATATTTTACAATGACTGACGGATATAAATCAGCTCTATTTTTTTTGCTCTGATTCTTTTATAACTCCAAGTCGAAAAAACGACACTAATTGGAAAATAATTTTTGTTGTAATTTTTTAAGACTGGTCGGAACTTTCTGTGCTACTTGCACAGTAACCGGCTATCCTTGTTTATATAAATTGTTTTATTTCTTGAAAATTTTTCTCATAAAAAATTTTGGCACGTATTGAAACGCTAATAAACATTTGGAGCTCGACCTGATATCAGCAGACTTGATTTTATAAATTTCCAAGTCACGTGATAGTAATTTGAGCTGTCAAATAAATTTGAACAGTCAAATAAATGAGTAAGAACCTTAAATACATTTATTAAAAATTTCAGATAATCCTAATATCTGTTAATTCCCACTGTGGGAAAAATGGTAAGAATCAATAAAAAAATTTATGGGGTTTGTTCTTAGCAGTTAGGAAAACAATCCTAGTGTGTTCTTTTTAGATAAATAATAACCAGGCTGCTTTTTCAGCATATGAAGTGAATAAAACAAAATTACTAGTATTTCAATTTGTATTGATCGGTTACAGCCAACTAGCGCTCCTAAAGTGAATAGAAGTTTATATAAACAATCGAATTTAATTTTTCAGTGTTTTCTGTTTAGAAAGCGTCGTTTTAATATATGATTAATAATTGGAATTGACTATACCTTGAACTAAGCCAACTGTTAATTTAAAAAAGATTGCTTATACTAGTGAAAGACTTAGGTTCTGTGGCTTATTTGTTAGCGCCTTTGCGAACTGACATAAAAACGGATAGGACAGGATTTCAGGCTGTAGGCACAAATAGCATAGGTTTTGGGAAATTTCTGATCAGAAATCAGATTAGAAGTAGAGCTTTGTAGAAAAATCCATGCTTTATTTGCAGATTTTATAGAGAACTTCCGGGCAGAGTTCAGATTAGATGCTAGATGTTTCTCGTCAGAAGTACAGATTTGGCTAGGTACGGGCTGTCATATAGGAATATTCACGATTCGTTTCCTGGAACCTAAGTACCGACTATCACGATTCCTTTCCTGGAATCTAAGTACCGACTAAAATTTTTTGGTTGGTTTACCTGATTAGCCGCAAGTGTTGCGTGGTGCTCGGTACTTTTCACGGTGCTTTCAATTTTTTCAGTTAATTCACTTCAGCTAACTCGAAATTGACAATAAACACAACAAACTTTTAAAGTTATTCATCGCACTTTTTATAATTAACTTAACTTTTTCATATTAAGCTTTTAAGGTATCTGGAGATTTCTTGGTAAAAAGTTTTACTTGTTCTTGAAACAAAACAAAAAAGAGTGGAAACATCTGCAATTTTCCACAACACCCACATGCAATGTCAATTACAATGTTTTTTAAGGCAACAAATTGTTCAAACCATTTGAAGTAACTCAACCTCAGTTCACATTTGGGTTAATTTGAAAAAAATCTGATCTAAATGAATTCGCTGCCAGCGCTGAGCGTTAGTGAAAAAAAAAAGTAGGCAAAATTATCCCGAATGGACAAATTGACAATATGACTTAACAGTTCCGACCATTCAAAAAATGGGGAGGAACTTTGAATTCGGTTTTTCTTTTTTCTTCTTTTTGTTTTCCACGCAAAATCAGGTACCACAAATAAAAATCAGAATGGTTTGAGTGATAAATCATATAAAAGCCGTTTCAGTCCTGATTCTAATCACGTTATAAAATGTCAAAAAATTTTTTCTTATTTCTAAAAAACAAATTTTGATATTTTTGATTTTTTGTGAAAATTCGAGTGAGCAAGCAGGTTTTTTTATTTATCAAAAAACTACAAAAAAAGAACAATTTTTTTTCTAATTCTTTTTCTACAAAACTAATTTCATTTTGCTTAGTTTACTAGGACTGTCAAATATGCCTAATTTTTAGTCTTTCGTTCAGATCCTTTTCGCACACCACGCAAAAAATGAATATAATTTGAAAAAAAAAATTGTTGGGTTTTTCTAAGACTATGGTCGGAACATTCTGTGCTACTTGCACAGTAACCGGCTTGTTATTTTGTGTTTTCAGAATATTCCATCAAAAATGGTGAATTCAAAAGTCATAATTGATTGGAAAAAAACCGCACGAGAACAAAAAAACCACACGAGAACAAAAAACCACTCTTTTCGGTCAAGAGAGTTGACCGAAAAAGCTTATCATACAATTCTCATAAATAGGAAATTTTCCATACGTAGGAAATTTTCCTTACAGTTCCATACGTACATAAAATTGTATGAAATCTCTATAATAAACATTTTCCCATAAGATAGGTGTTTTTTCCATTAGCAAAAAAATTGTTTTTTGTTTCTACTTTTACTTTCTGAAAAATTTTGGGTTCTGTTTGCAACCGAACACAAACAACAAAGACCTTGGTTACTCAAAGCACCAAAGGTTGGTTGGTCTTGCATTAACATTGCATAGAAAACGACCTGAATTGTCTTCGAGCTGTCTTTTACAAATGATATAACAAAAGTAACAAACTTATAATTTTTGGCAACGTTTTTCAATGATGATTTTTTTTAAATTTTTGAATTTTCAAATTATTAGACATTGATCAAGGCATACATAAACAAGCCATACAAATGAAATAGAAATTTTCTTTAAAAAAATTTAAGTGAAAAGAAAAGCCAATATTATTGTATCCAGGACTACGTTATGCACACAAAAAATTAAATTTGCTCACAAAAAAAAACAAAAAAAAATTTGCACACAAAAAAATGCACACAAAAAAAGACAAAAATTAAACAAAGGTACTTAGTACTTTGTACACGTGCTTCATTTAAGTTTAGCATATCAAAAGTTAACTTAAATAGGTTTTTGCCGACTGAATTTCCAAACGAGTCAAAGGGGACTGGAAAAGAGCCAAAACTATAACTTCAATCGCCGAAATTAACCGGATTAAAAAATTAATTTTTCAAAGAATAAATATTTTGATATTTTCTTCGAAAACCGGTACAGAAACTCTGCCTGTCACCAGCAGAATTTTATTCCGGCTTTCGATGAAAGTACTGGAATATTTATTCTTTGAAAACATAAGTTTTGAATCCGATTAGTTTCGGCGATCTAAGTTATAGTTATGGCTCTTAACAGTCCCCTTTGACTCTTTCGCGGCGGTGTTGAAAAAAAAAACATTAAAAAAATTAAAAAATTTTGTCCCTAGTCGAGCAAATAATAATATTCTAAAACATTTAGTCTTTCGGGAAAAACTTCCAAAAATTGTTTTGAACTACTTGAATCAAAATTGACAAAACTGCTCTGCGATCGTCGCAAACAATATTTTGCAACTATTTCAAATGACTTTGTTCTGACTTTTGGTCGAACCGAAGATGAAAAAAAAATACGCTAAGATAGCAAAACTTTTCAAGAAACTTACAGATACTTGTTCAGTGGTCTCATTTGATTCGTTTTTCAGGCAAAATCTATGGAAAATTATTGCCAAATCTCTGGACTGGTTTTCAGTTTGGGACAAAATCTATAAGTCCTTATTTTTAGTTCCTTTTATCTCCCTAAAATAAAAGAAGTGACTTGTTTATGTTGAGTGCCTACCTGCCCTGTTTTTGGGTGAAGACCACGAGACTATGGGTTGAACTGGTGCCGAACGACATGGTCCACTATAGAGATGAAGGTCACTTGGAGGTGAAAGCTGTTGATGCGGGCCCTTAGTGAATTATTCAGCGGGCGAAGTCGAAGTGGGAGCAGAAGAAGAAGCAGCTAATGGAGTCAGTCAGATGTGGTGTGTATTAGTGCTGCGTATGGTCTCCGATCAATTTCGAAGTCGGGGCTCGAGGAAAACTAATAAAGCGTAAAAGCAGTTTTGAAAACTTGCTCCTTTGTTGGAGTATAGTTTAGCTAGGAGAGGAAAACAATTGAGTGCTTTCACAATGTTGGCCAACAAGCAATAAATAAAAGCCCTGAAATGTTTTTGTTGTGGTTTCACCCGACACAGGAGCTAATTTACGACACAAATAAACCTTATTAGACCTCGTTTCCGCAATGAGGGGAGAAATAGGAAAATGATTAGACGGCTTCATCGAAAATTATACCAAAAACACCCGATGATTTTATGCAGCTACTTAAAATGCTGTAAACGATGACTACCGTAAAACACTGCCGGGAAACTAACCTCACTTCTAACCATTTGCGATACAAATCGATGAAATTCGGGTAAAAGGCAGAACAGTTAATCGACGAACTATTTCACCTAATTGGTGGGAAGTGCTTGGCTATGGCTATGACAAATCCATATTAACGTGTGACTGCATCTTCTTTTCAGATTGTGAAGATAAAAGCCCTTTAAAATGGACGACAATCGGAATTAACTGTGATTAACTTTCGATTTCAACAAAAAAGTAGAAGCTACGGCGCTTATTTTTGTTATTTATTCTCCAGAAAAAAAACGAAAGCATCAATGGGTAAACGAAAGAAGATAATAAACGAAAGTGGAGGGTGAAAATAAACTAGAGTATTAATGCATTTTAAATAGTTCTGTAATAATAAAGCCGTGATACGGCCACAACGGGACCCTATTGTTAATGGAGTTGAAGATAAGAAGTTAATTGGATTTATTTGCAAGAGTCTACTTTTCTCTGATGGAACTGTTGGATTGCAGTAGGGTTGGCAGGAATTGAACACGATAAATGAGGCTGCATTGAGGGTGTTCTTCGTCTCAGACAAAAACAAGAGAGAGGGGAGAGGTGTTTGTGGGAATCATTAGACACCAAAAACAGCTTCACCTTTTAATTTTAGTTAGAAAAGACTGGTTCATGTCAGCGAAAAAGAAGACTGGGTTCTTAAAGTAAGTGCGCATTACAGAAAATGAAATAATGCACCCTTGAGGCACCATAAATAGAATTGGATTTAAAAGGGTGAGAACGAGCTGTAAAAACACTACTCGCACTTTCGCCCCATTCTACTCCGCCCATATCACCAATTGCACTACTCAGTCAGAACAGACAAAAGGGCGCGGATCTTGTTAACTATTTCCTCCCCTATTTCAAAAGTGGGGATCATTTATCATTTCAACAAACAAAGTTCACATATGCTTAACAGTTGAATTAGTTTTTTGTAGGGGGTCGCAATTATTTATTAGGTACCACACGTAGGGGGGAGGGGGGGTATTAAACAAAATGCAAGAGCGCAAACGATAGAAATTAAATATTAAATATTAAAAAAAGTTTTATCTAGTAAAAGATTTTTTAACGAAAAAGTGTTATCATAGACAAAAATTCTTTGAAAATAGTAAAATAGTATGCCTAGTAGTGTTTTTTTAATTAATGGAATTGTATGATGAGCATCTTTGGTCTATGAAGGTGAAAGTCAACCCGGTAAAGTAGTTTTGAAACCATCCACCAATTAAGCCTATTTCGGCGATTCGAGAAAACATGTTATGTTGGCATCAGAAAGTTGATATTCATCGCAGGAATGGATTGAAATGGATAGAAATAAATTGGCTCTCAAATTGAAAATTACTTGTTTCACTATTAGGTGCGCTGAATATCTGCTTACTATTAGATGCTTGACATTTCAATTAGTATTTGAATGACCTCGCAGTTTCAATTCCGGGATTTTCCACAGGCTATTCTACTAAATACACAAACAAACCCGAAACAAACTGGGAGTAGAATGAAAACAGGTTAGGATAAACTAATTGATTAGTCTGACCAGGAATCAATCTTGAACTGCAAAGCAGCATTTCGACAGATTGCTACAGACTAAAACACACGCAGGAGGCGTTACCATGGAAAAAGGTATTATGAATTGGGAGCAAAAACAATTGCTATTCTAATCCAGTCGGGTACGAAATCTAGTCAATTCAATTTTAAGGAACATAAAACCTTCTCAGAACACATTAAGACGATAAATTTTTTCGTTGTCCTCTTTGATGAACTAATTCCCGGGTGTAGTGTACAGGCATTTCAAAAGCCATAAAAATGGAACAAAAACAGATGAATTAGAAAAGAGTCTGGGAGACTTGAAAGAAATGTCTATTGAAATCCATTAAGCTCCGCCATTGAGATACCAAAAATTCAAGGTAGGCGAAGTTCGTTTGTTTTGTGAAACATGAAGACCCCCTGGCTATGTCTTCCCGATGAAGAAAAAATGAAATAGAATATTACCTATCCGAAAATAACCTAGTAAACTCTTCAAGACTGTTAGCCTGCTTGGAGGATAAGTATCGAAAGTTGACCTGCTGACCTTTCGTTAGTCAATTTTGAATTTACAACTGCTAAACTAAACACATTTTTTATATTGCTTCTACTTCATTCAGGTTTTAAAATTTCACTGTGAAATTAGATTCCATCAGAACATCCTTTAGAAGAGCTATTCTACACCCATGAAAGGGGTCCATCACAATACCCTCAAGAATGGTGTGATATTTTCTCTGACCATCGAAGGCTCTGGGATGGGTCAACAGCTGGGCTTCCATGATGAGAAGATTTTTTTTACCGTAGTCCGCTTTTAATCCTTAGATGCTTGAGACGCCAAAATTAATTCGTAAAACATAAGATGACGTCAAATGTCAACAGTTCGAAAAAAACTCATCACAAAACATATTGCTATGTTTTAACGTGTCTGTACAAAACAGTCCCATACAAAACAGTCCAAAACAAAACAGTCCGGAAAAGTATGAAAATGATCGAAAAAACAGTCCGATACAAAGCAGTCCGGAAAACAGTCCTAATTAATAATTGTTTTAATAAGCCGGCAGACCGAGAATTTTCCTTTGCTCAACAAACATAATGAACAAAACAGTGATCGCCGCAGTCGCGCCAAGGTGTTGCGATCTTGCCAACAGAGAGTAGGACTTAATACGAAATTTAGAGCCGGTTATCGCCGCAAAGTGGTGACGCGCGCGCAGCGCGCCCACCTGCGACCTTAAACCTGACTGTTTTGTATCGGAGTGTTTTTTTTCTCCATTACATGATTTTTCGGACTATTTTGTATTGGACTGTTTTGTATGGGACCGTTTTGTATACGCACCTTTTTTAAATATTTAAATATTGGTTGAAAAGATTATTGCTTTATTTTGGCCTGCCCCGCAAAATTATTTTATATTTGACAAAAAAGTTTGATCGAATTTTGAAAGGTTTGAGCTTGAAAGATTTGAAAGGTACTTTTCTCTCAGAGTTGAAGCGGAGCTTCACACGACTTGCGATACCGAAATAACTGCCAGAATTAAACAACTGCATATTTTATATTTTTTACAAATTAAATTTTTTTAAGGAAGGTACAGTTAAACAGTTCTTAACACTTTTGATGTACAGTTAAACAGTTCTTAACACTTTTGATTCACAAAAGCTGAAAAATAAAGAAAAAAACGAATTCCTGAAAAGTTAGGGCGCTGTTTATTTTTTTCTTCTAAAAATGAATGACTATACATTTTGACAGTTGCATGCGAAATTTGCGAAGAAAAGAATATAAATAATTACATATCACATAAGAAAAAAATTTCAGCAAAACTTTTTGGACTAAAATTCTTTACACTTAACCAATTTTGAATTACAGAAAAACTGTTCCAAGCATAGAATTGTTTTTTGCTTCGGTAGCATGCCAACATAATTAAACAGACTTACGGAAGTCAGAAAAAAGTTTTTTTTTTCATAGTGAAAAACAACAAATCAAGTCAGATTTGAACTACGCATTTTTACTTTGCAGGTTTGTGTGTTACCCCTACGCCACATATCTGAATGAGCCATGAATTTGATTTATATGAACTCGAATTTCAAAAAAAAGTTGACTGATTTTGAAAATACTGCAAGGGTAAATGTTCAGGGTATATTATTATATATTATAAGATACAGGATCAACCGTGAAAAAGTCAAATCAAAATTGAGATCGATATAATCTTTTGTGTTCAATTGTGTTATTTTGTAAGACTAAGGGGGTCTAAAAATTTCAATTTTAGCCAATTTGGGACAATTGAAGAGCGACTAAAGGTTGCTCAAACTTTTTATTGAATCATCAGATGAAGTAAGAGTCGCTGAAATTTTTAGTTTAGGAGAACAATATATAATCTAATATCTCATTTAAGCTTTTAAGCCAACAATACTGCTCGTATCAGGGCAAAAGAACGAATTGTCTTGCGAGCATCATCCATTCACACGCTATGTAAAATACAAATTGATATGTTATGCAAAATGTATTTCGTTAAATAGACCAAATAGAATGCCTCAATCCAATTCGGTATCATTTTGGAGACAGGTTGAAGCTCCGCTTACGCATTAAGAATTAAATCGTCCTAAGTTGGCTTAAATGGCAATCTCTAAACCCCCATTCATTTTTAAAAAAAAGTGAAATCTTTTCGTAATTTTCGGGTCGCCACACACAACAATAGTTATCAATTGTTAAAAAATTTAGCCGGAAAATGCTAGTTTCAAAGTCGAAATTTGTTCAAGCAAAAGAACCACCCCGAGCACAAATATTCACTCAATTTTTTCAAAAGTTGGAACAAAATTGTGAGCGGACAGTTTTTACGCAAACATTGATATTGAATAGCCATGTTATAATGAATTTCAGACAAACTGTCTTCTTGCTCGTTAAAATTTTTCTATTACCAGTAATAAAATTTTAAAATGATTTTGATATTGTGATCTTTTACTTTTAAATGGTTGTTGAAAGTTGACATTTATTTTTTTCTTTAGTTATTTTGTTTTGACTTGGGACCAAAATGAGGAATAAAATGATGGGGGTGACTTTTCTAAAATTCTTCTTTAAAGAGTGTTTGCAGGAGATTGCTCCCTGGACCCTTTTCGGCCCCACCTGGTTCGCACTACATTATATCATTTTGAAAACAGTCTCTCTAGATTGTTCCTTTCATGCTTTGCTGCAGAAAAAGTAATGCAGTATAATGATGCTTGGCAACTTATCATTCACGTCAAAATCGCTCCCAATAGAAGTGAGGCAAGCAAATTGGTCAGAATAAATACATACTCAACTCAAAACTTAACACTTAAAATCCAATGTTATCAGCTTAAAACCACTGGTTTATCAACAATTCTTTCAATAAAACAGATTGAGGCCTGTTGGAAGTGGGAACCTAGAACTCTTTGCCTAAATTTGAGCAATCATGTTCTTTTATATTGTAAAACAATCGTGTTTGTAGGAAACCAACTACTAAACTAGAATCCAATTTGAAAATTTGTTGCTACATTTTTGTTGGCCAAAATAAGCCAGAAGAAAGCTGCAACTTGAATATGAAAAAAAAAATTCAAACAAAGAAATTTTTTTATCCTATTCCTAATTTCTCCACTGTGGAAGGAAAGACTGCGCACTTTTCTCAATAAATCCACCTAACACTGTTCCTAAAACACAAAATAATTTAAATTGCCGCATTTTTTGCAAATTTTGGATGGTGTCGAAAAAGCTTTTCAAAAAATTGATAGTTTTTCGTGTAGCCAGTTCCACTTTTGAAACACTTTAGTCAATCAGTTAAAAAACTTATGTGGTAATAAGATTTCTGAAAGTCTAGCAGCTCATTGTAAAACAATTGGTTAAAAAACTTGCTTTCTCATAGTTTCCATCTCAGTTCTATTTAATTATTCGTTTTACACTTTATTTAAGCGGCGTTTGGCTTGACACATGTTTAAGAATTACCCATATTGACATGTTTAATAAAATGTCAATATTTTGCAATGTTTAAAATGTTTCAATGAAATCAACGTTTTTTTTTTCATGATTTTCTTTTTTTTAAATTATACATATGCTGAAACCTAAATGCTTCAACTGTAGACCTTTTTTCTTTTTTGCAATGCAAAATT